GTGGGTGGTACTAATGTGTAAGAATGTGTACATAAGAACAATAAACCCACAGCTCTGTCTGTTCACTGCTTGACCCTCAACACAGAGCCTTGTCTCGTTCTTGGGGGGGGATTTATTGTATGCTGTTCCAGTTCGACTGCTAGGAGTGTAAACCTATTAGTTTTTCCTATTCAGCTGTTTACAGCATTCATATGCTTGAGAGCATTCATATGGTTTCCTGTTCGTCGGATTGGTGTTCTGCAGTAGCTGTGCCTGTGTCTCTGGAAGGGAAGATTTACTAAATGGCGGTTTAACCCTTTTATGCCTGGGGTGCCGTTACACATATCATCTTAACTGTTAGCGGATTGTCATCCCTCCTCCCCCATGGCTCCTCTCCTGCAACTGTCAAAAATTACCTACTAAGTTCTCAGTGATTACTTTTCTAGCAACCTATTTAATTAACCCTACTTATGCCCATTGTGTCACTATACCTCACTCCCTCTAGCAAGTATGCTCAGTGAGCAGGGCCCTCAACCCCTCTGTTCCTGTGTCTGGTTACAATTATGTGTCTTTTAGTCCATCCGTTGTACAGCGCTACAGAATTTGCTGGTGCTATGTAAATAATAAAATAATAATAATAATATGCAACGTAAGTGTCATTTACTAATAGAGAGATATTTTTACTCTTTTTATCTCATTACAAAGTGAATACATCAACTAACTACAGCATTATATACATATTATTATTATTATTATATATTAAATATATAAATCACTTTACATTACTTTTTCAAATAAACCCATCAATATTTATAGTGTTTTAAGTGACATTGTCAATAAAATAGAAACACAAACACACACACACACACACACATCTTCCCAGGACAGTCCATGTCAGCTATGGTTTACACTGAATGATGGAGCGCTGAGCCGTCATCATCATGCCTTGGTCCTACTCACTACTAATTCAATATGTATTTTCACTAATTGGGAATATGCATCAACAAACACCTTTTTCACATCTATTACAATAGAAATCTCGCTTGATTGAGCCTGCAGTCCAGTGGGTTCTGCATAGAGAACCCGGTGAGTTTTGCATACTGATTTGCTATGCTACCTTTCTAAATCAGTTCCAAACACTTATTTCTGAGTATGATATTGCTAACCTACTCAGTACCTGATTTTGCGATGCTGTCTGATTCATGTCGGGTTGTGTACAGTTGCCAACCAGGCACATTCTTGACTTAACTAAAATACCTGATTCTTGTATGCATGTCCAGTTTGTTAACTGTCCTGTTCCTGACTTTTGCTGTAGACTTAGCAATTCTGACTAGTTCTAACCTGAGTACTCAGTTGCTGACCAGCTAATGTCAAGCTTTGCTTCCAACTGTCTCCCACGTTCATCAGATAAGCTACTGTATCTGATCTGTACAACTATGCCGTCACCACAATGTTCTGTTCCTGTCATTTTGTGGCATTATTATCAGTCATTTTGTTTTTCATACTCGTATTAATCATCATTAAAAACTCAGTGGCCAACATACTATAAGTACGACAGCTCAAACTAGGGCTAAAAATTGTTGTTTGACTGATATATTTGTCCACCCAGCCTAACCTGCAATGCGTTTCCAACAAGAACTCTATGACACCAGGACTATAGTCTAGTGACTAATCCTATCATATTGAAAAGTCCTGTCCCGATTGTCGCCATCCTGTTTCAGTCCTGTTGAGTTTTGCAAAAGGAGTGTCTGTCTTGTAAAGTCCTGTCCTTCCCAAATCACCATTGTGTCTCTTTTGTGTTTTTCATAAATGTACCGCCAATATGAGTGGTGTTTCTATTTATATCATAGTAATAATGATGTATGTTATGTTGTAATTACTATATTGCATGGTGTAGAACAGGGGTAGGCAACCTTTTAGCAGCACTGTGCCGAAATAAGATTGTGATGTCCCGTAGCGTGCCTGTCCTATTTTTTTTAAATTGAGGTGTGTATGTTGCCGTATTACATAGTTACATAGTTACATAGCTGAAAAGAGACTTGCGTCCATCAAGTTCAGCCTACCTCACATTTGTTTTTTGCTGTTGATCCAAAAGAAGGCAAAAAAACCCAGTTTGAAGCACAATTTTGCAACAAGCTAGGAAACAAATTCCTTCTTGACCCCAGAATGGCAGTCAGATTTATCCTTGGATCAAGCAGTTATTACCCTACATTGAAAGATTATATCCTTGAATATTCTGTTCTTGCAAGTATGCATCTAGTAGCCGCTTGAACATCTGTATGGACTCTGATAAAACCACTTCCTCAGGCAGAGAATTCCACATCCTGATTGTTCTTACAGTAAAAAAACCTTTCCTTTGCCTTAGACGAAATCTTCTTTCTTCCAGTCTAAACGCATGGCCTCGTGTCCTATGTAAAGTCCGGTTTGTGAATAGATTTCCACACAATGGTTTGTATTGGCCCCGAATATATTTGTATAATGTTATCATATCCCCTCTCAGGCGACGTTTTTCTAAACTAAATAGGTTTAAATTTGTTAACCTTTCTTCATAGCCGATATGTTCCATTCCTTTTATTAGTTTTGTAGCCCGCCTCTGCACTTTTTCTAGTGCCATAATATCCTTCTTTAGAACAGGTGCCCAAAATTGCACAGCATATTCAATATGGGGTCTTACCAGTGATTTATAAAGAGGCAAAATGATATTTTTGTCCCGAGAATGAATGCCCTTTTTCATGCATGACAATACCTTACTGGCCTTGGCCACTGCTGATTGACATTGCACATTGTTGCATAGTTTGTTGTCTATAACAATTCCCAAGTCCTTTTCGTGTGTTGTTATCCCTAATTTTTGTATTGTGCTTGTGTTATTTATACTGCAGTTGCTTTGTATCATTGTATTTGTGCGTGTATGAACTATTACATTGTATATGTTCACAAGTAGTTTGTGGTGTTGTGTATGATACCTAGTTTGTGGGCTGTGTATGGGGGCTGCTTGCAGAATTGTGGGTGGATGGATATGTCATATTGTGTGTTTGGTAGTGTGTGTATGTGTGGGACTGTTTGGGGTATTGCATGTGAGAGGCTGCATGTGGGGTTGTGTGCATGTATGTGGATTGTTAGTGGTGTTGAGTTTGTGAGGATTGTGTGTATGTTTGTGTGTGGGCTGTTCATATTATTTGTATGAGGGCAGGGTTATTCTGCATTTCTGTGTATATCTAGCAGTGTGGGTGGCTTCCAGTAGGGACCAGGCTGGTCAGGTACAGATCAAGTACAGGAGCAGTAACAGCAGCTGTGGGCTGCACTACTACAGTGTGGGTTCCCATTCACAAGTGCAGAAATGAAGTGATCTGAGATCACGTCCTCTGTGTGCTGCAATGTATAAATTGAGGATTGTCCTTCACCACCTTTTCGTATTAGCAGATATCTGAAGTTTCACTGAGACTCTTGATAGGCCAGAGCCTGTTTGCCTCTGGCAACCTTGAGTGCCGTGCAAAGACACCTCAAGTGCCGTGCATGGCACACGTGCCATAAGTTGCCTACCCTTGGTGTAGAAGCTACAAGGTTAATGGCATTGTATACCACAAGACAATGCAGTGATGTGTTTAAAAGCAACAAAGAACCCTGAAAATGAACCAGTAAGATGTTAGGGTTTGGTCGGTATCCTAAGTATAGCCTTAATTTAATATTTTTTTTATAAGCTTTTCAAATGATTTTATACTTTTGGATGGACATTTAAAATATTTTTAAAGTATTAAAAAATATCAAAAATATATCATCTATTCAAATTTATCAATATAGCAAACAATATCAAACATTAAAATATTTTTCAAAACATTAAGTCATTTTAATAGTTTATCCAAAAATATGCAATAATTTGAAAAGCTTATTAAAAAATATTAAATAATTTAAAATGCTTGCTCACAAAAATATTAAATCGAGGCCTATATACCGGTAAGCATGGGGCCTAGATCAGTAAAAGAGAACCTCACCTTGTCCTGGAATAAATTTAACCTTTCATTTCAGGTGCTCTTTAGCACTAGCAGTGTTCCGTAGGCTCTCTTCTTATGTTTCTTGCTCATTAATTTAGAATTGTCAATAATGTATTGTAGCACTGAAGTAATCTGCTATATTTCATCTCAAGCATTGTTTTCATTGGAAAATACAATTAAAATATTAATTTATATGATAGCAATAAATAAACCAAAAATATAACATGTGATATTAAATGTATAACTACAACTCTTGTCTCTATGCCCTCAGTATATTGCTAAGTACCATGATGCTCTATAAACACCTAGTCATGTCATGTGCGCTAGACTGTAGCAGTCATGCTTTTTTCTTTGTATATATATATTTTTAAATACTACACATTAAATGGCACCCGTGGCTTTCAGTTTTGGATTTCACTTTCTTGCACCAAGGTATAAAGCTAAAAAGCTATGTGGTCTTTTCTGAAATATTGATGTTTCTTCACAATCCATACAATTGTGGAAAAGCCTTGATTCCACCTTAAAAAGTACTTTGTACTGCTAAGTGAACTTATATTTATTTTATTTCTTCTGGAAAATTACTATGTGATAGATGAAATGACACCTGTACCACCAACATCATAGAATGTAGAGAAAAAGTATTTTATTTTTCTTCTCCAAAAATAGGAAATAGTTCAATACTTTCCATAACGTTATCTTAATCTTGGGTGCCTGTGTGTAGATTGGGCATTGCCATGAACAAATTGACATGAGTTAATTACACATCATGGCAGTTGCAGAGCAGGCAATATCGTACAATTTGGCTATGGCAGAAGATGACTTGTATGCAAGGTGAATATTCCTGACACCTACAATCTTTTTGCAGCTAGACAACTGATCACTATCCTTGAAAAGCTCTGTAAATACAAGCCCTATACAATGGAGAGAAGTAAGGATACAATCATGTGGATTCCTTTTGTGTGCTTCTTGAAATAAGGATAATAATGGATGTAAATGCACAGATGTTTATTAGAATGCTTAACTAACATTATATCATTCTTTATCACTCTGCCGGCTAGGCTTTCTTTCAGACTTTGGTGTTCCTTGCCAGGTGAACCTTGCCACAGTGCTGATATCTGGTCGATCAGAAGGACTGAAGTTTAGTAGGTTCTTGATTAGACTCCAGCACTTTTCATTGATAGTGATAAAGTTTGGATATTCCACTCCTTTCTGTTGAATTTCTGGAAGCTTGCTGATGTTGGAATCATCAAAAGGCATTTTGCCAGTTACCATAATGTAGAGAACCACACCAAGACTCCATATGTCATACTTCCTTGGGTTATATGGGATCCCCAACAGAACCTTAAAAAAAAAAAAATTCGTATTAACATGGGTGACACTATAATGAATCCCATGTTGTTGGATTGAGGTTTTCAGTATCTCAGTTTTGGTGACGATCATGAAAGTCATCGACAGTGATCATGACAGTATTTCTCCATGTTACAGTAAAGGGATACTCGGAGCACCAATACAACTTAAATGCATTTGATGAGTATTGGCCTTATTAATATGCTGTATTTTTGCTGAAATCATTACTGTTTTTACACAAAAAATAATTATGTTGCAGAATGCTTCTCCATAAGCCTGCCTTCTTAGCGACGCCCCCTCACATAATTGATCTGAGCTATAAAGCTACCTGCATTAGAAGAAGAGGACACTCAGTGAGGCATATAGTATAAATAGTACTACCTGTTTATAGTTTATCTACAGCCAGGTTGCAAAATGAAAGCAGCTCTCAGTGCTCAGTGGGGTTGGAGCTGAGACTGCGTGAGTGGATTTGATAAGGAAGTATTTCTGGCATGATGGAGCATGGCTAATGAGGCAGGCTTAAGGTGCAGCATTCTGAAAAAAAAAGTTATTGTGCGCAATTATAAAAAGTTTAACATGCAAAAAATACAGCATATTAATGAGTGCAAAATCTCATCAAATGCATTAAAGTTGTATTGGTGCCCAGAGTGTTCCTTTAAACAACTGTTTTCCAATCAGTAAATGGCTTTGACTAGAGTCATATCACCTCACAGTAAACCATAGAAACCATGACACAATTTGCTATTTACTAAAGGTTATTGCAGTTTCAATGACTAAAAATAAAAATTTTTGGCATAAATGTTCTTCCTAGTGAGCCCAGGTAAAACGTCTTGCTAGGGGAGTTATGCCACACCAATTAACCTTTTTATTGCTGCAGTGGAGAACAGTGCTATGCTGCTGTCCACTGAAAGAGAAATTCAAATAAATACATTTATATTTTCTGGAGTCTGTAAGACCTCAGCATGCAATTAAACAGAGCTGATCCACTCCCAAACCTTAAGATAACCAGTTGATTCTCACTATGACCAATAATTAATTCATATAAAAGTGAAGTCCATTGAACCATATTAAATGGTATGAGACTTATGAGTGGCCTCTATCTCTTTCTACACCTGCTGGGTGGAGGGTGATATAATTATGATAAATATGGCTAGTAAATGCCAGGAGTTTTTTCTTAAAAGGTACCAATTAGCTGGCCATGAAAATATTGGCCCACCTGGAACCCCCACCAACAGTGGCTACCTGTCCCTATGTCCTTAGCCATGGGCTAAATATGACCATATTAACAAACCCTTACACTAGTAAGTATTAGTGAGAGAAGCAAATTTAGTACAAGGGACAGGAAATATTTAGTAAGAGGTAAACTGTAGGTTATATATACAAACTAGATAGATAGATAGATAGAATATAAAAGACACCAGATACAGTGCACACCTAATCGAGGCAAAAATAATGGGGGTTTAGTTACAGTATATGATCATACAATACATAAGCCTGCCACAATGTCAATGTACCCCATCTTTGGCAGGTCCTACGCTATCAGCATAACGTCTGCTCTTATGAGATTAACCCACTTACTTGGGGAAAAAATTCAATCTTGGACTCTCCGCATTACAAAGCTAAATAGGGCCCTGAAATGAGGCACCTGTTACAAGGAGGGGTGCAAAACCAAAGAGTGGCTGTCTCTTGTATTGTAAAAATTGGCCCCAGCAGCACCCAGTTTATGTATGTCCAGGTGAGTGCAGCCCCTGGTTTTATTATATATGTGTGTTTAATTTCATGTTGTTCTCATGTTTTAACCTTGCAAATAAAGAAGATTTTTATTGAAGACTGTGAGTGCTGCCATTTCTAATATATATATATATATATATATACAGTTCAAGTAGAGATTGTAGCCAGTGTTGTAGATGTAAAAAACAGATAAAATTTGTATCTTGTAATACCTTTTTTATTGGACTAACAGAAATTTTTAATGACAAGCTTTCGGGAGAACCTCCCTTTCTCAAGTCTGAAGCATTTCTGAGCAAGACGACACATAGAATTCAAAGATGAGATGTGTCGTCTTGCTCATAAATACTTCAGACTTGAGAAAGGGAGGTTCTCCCGAAAGCTTGTCATTAAAAAATTCTGTTAGTCCAATAAAAAAGGTATTACAAGATACAAATTTTATCTGTTTTTTACATCTTTTATATATATATATATATATATATATATATAATTTTATATTTATATATATATATATTACAGGCTATATGTGTGTGTTTATACATAACCTATTGGCTATGAGTGTGTATACATAACTTACTGTTTACCTCTTCTGAAATATTTTCTGTCCCTTGTGCTACAAGAGTTGGCATCAACTTACCTCTGGTGGTGCATAGGCAGCAGAGCCACAGTAGGTGTTGCACAGCTCCATAGGGTTAACAGAATGCTTCCCGAAGCCAAAGTCAGAGAGTTTAACAGACTGATCATGTGTTAAAAGCACATTTTCACACTTCAGATCCCTGTGAACAATATTGTTTTCATGCAGATACTGCAAGGCACTGGCAATTTGAGAAAAAATGCGTTGGGCCTCTGACATTGAGAAAGGTCCTTCCTGTTGTATCTGCTGTAGGAGATCTGTGTGGCACAGTTCCATGACAATACATTGTACCCCATTTTCCAATTCAATGAGCTCAAACACATGAACCACATGGGGGTGAGAGATTGTCTTGAGGATAGCTAATTCACGGGGCAGAAACCTGTTGACAAAATCTGAAGGTGCATGCTTCTTATTCAGCATCTTAATAGCAACCCTCTCACTGTATTTCTTTGAAAGTGCAGTTTTAACTTTAGAGTAAGTACCTTCACCAATAGTGTATTCCACTTTGTATCCCAGAGCTCTCAGCATAGCATTTTCAGAAGACATTATAATGGAGATTGACAGATAATTGCAGTTTTATCCAGATTCTTAATTCTCGATGATTGTATTCACCAATTCTCTTGCATCTTCAGAATGTCAGTTCTTCTAACTGACAATACTGCTATTTCTTGAAAATAGCTCAGCCAAGCATGTGCCATCACATTATGCTGGTGTTTCCAATCCTATCATGCCCTGTTGAAGTACCTGATCATCACATGACCCCTAACTCAAAGCAGGTAACACAGTGTCATTGTGAGGTGTCAGATGTTGCTGAAGCCTCTACTAGTTGGGTACAGTAAATTCAAGTGCATGTCACTCAGTATAGCGAAACACATTTATATATTTAATGACTGTTTAACAATATTATTTAATACCATAAAAAAACAAGTGGTAGCATGAAACATATGGATTTTGAATGGCTTTTATTAACTATTTTGCCGATGCCTTACTTTAACTATCAAAACATTCCTATTGATATAACAATTTACATTATTAATTATTATCATTATTTATAAAGTGCTAGCAAACTCCAAAGCACTGTACAATAGATTAATATACAAACAAGTAGTTGCAAAAAGACGAGCTGGTGCACAGGAGCAGAAATGCTGTGGGCCCTGCTCAAACAAGCTCACATTCTAAATGGATGGGGTAAGAGGACACAAGAGAAAAGGATAAGATTTATTTCATGTACTGGAAAAATAAGTTGCTTGAAGAATTTAAAATTAAGGCTTTGCTTTTTTTTAAAAAGATGCAATTGCAGGAGAGAAGGTGGATTAGTGAAGTGTAGGGAAGGAAAGCTGTTTAGCTGTTCACAATTTAATTGATATGCCTTCTGGAAGAAGGGAATTTTTAATGATTTCTTGAAGTAATGGAGACTGGGGGAGAGTCTAATGGAACAGGGAAGGGAGTTCAATAAGAGGCGCAGGCCCTAGAGAAGTCTTGAAGGTGAGAGTTAGAGGTGCAAGGACAAACAGGGGATAGATACAGGTCCTCAGCAGAGCGTAGGTGCCTGGATGAGATACAGTTGTGTATTACTGAGAATAGGTAGACAGGGGCAGTGTTATGAAGAGATTTGTAAGAGATTATAAATAGCATGTCTATCATTTCTCTCTCTCGCTCTCTCTCTCTCTTTCTCTCTCTCTCTCTATATATATACCTTACTTAAACTTGGAATCTAAGGTAGACTATTTGTTACTATGAAGTAGGTAGTACACTGTTTACAATTTCCTACTCTAACCTTGCTTTTGTCAGCATCCATGTCCTGACTCACTTGGCCAATGTTTTTTTTTTTCCTGTGACTGTCACACACATGATACATGCAATGTATGCAATTTGAGATATATGTTGCAGATAATAGGAAAAAGGACAAATTGATAACCTGTATGTCAGTGCTTCGTGTTTGTCAAATGAATGAACAGCCAAACACAAGTGAACTCAACCTTTTTTTGAAAGATAATAATTTTTTTCCCCGCATTTTACATTACTGTCTTTTTTTTTGTCTTTTTTTTTTTTTTTTAACTGTATGAAATAAAACTGTCTTTTTTAAGGATTCTGTGTTTTTGAGATTTTCCAATGGTTTACAATAAGCAACGAAAAGCAACAAAACGATAACAATTATGTGAAGAACTATGAACACAAATAGAAAACACTGTAACACAATTATTCAGTTAAGACGAGGGGAATCCCATCTGGTCAACATATTTAATGACAGGTCTAGGCTATTGCAAGACAGGCCAGACATAAAACAGAAACACAGAGTGCATGTGAACATTATCTAGGAGCTAATGAAATCATAATAGAGTTTCTCCATCACAGACTGTGCAGAGAGGTGCTGGGAGTTTTGCAGACCTAAGAATGCGTGACTCTGAACGCCAAAGAAATTAAATGGCATCTAGATCTATGCAGCAGTAAACAAGTTATAATTTCAAAAGTGAACCTGGTGGAGAAGGTAGCAACCAAATAGTAAAACATGACGCAATAGGAAATACAGTAAGACAAGATACTTAGTGGGGATAAATACCAAGATTGCAGAAATGTGGACCATGGGGGTATTGGAGAGGTAGACGGTAAAAAAGTTGAAAGGGAAATTATCTGGGCAGGGAAGCATTTCCGGTATAAAATGGGTTAAAATGTTAACACAATGGTGGCCCGTATAAGTGATTATTGATATAGTGATTAAAAGCTGTTAGTTTATGCATCTGATTTGCTTCTTTAGTTATCTGCTCACAGTGGGTATAGTGGGAGTTTTGGAGCATCCTCATAGTTCTGTTATAGCTCTTCATGTGAAAATTGGCACTTTAGCCAATAGATTATTTCTGACCCTAGTGAATTGTATCCTGGTATGTAACTAGAGCCATAGGTCCAATCTACGGCTGGTGAGGCACTAAAGCTTCACAATTGTAGATAGCGGATAATGGTTAAGTATAGTCAAGATATCAATGGCTTTAAAAGCAATGGGTAGTTTGTTAGATACAGAAACAAACACTGCATGAACACCCCCCAGCAGCACGAATTAACCAGCTACTAGTAACCAGGCTACCACAATGTCTGGCTAACATAAGGCAAAACAATGCTGATCATAAAGGACACTCACAAGAGCAAGGCCGGCACTACCATTTAGCAAGCCAGGCACTTGCGTAGGGCACCAGCCTCTGGGGGGGCGCCATTCAAGGCTGTGTGTAGGAAGAGACTGAAGTCTGTTGCCAGTGAAGATTCAGTGCCCTGTTCTGTGTCAGCCACAGAAGAAGAAAATTAAATGCAAGCTCCGCAGGGGCATCACTGCCGCTTCCTAAAATCATCAGGAAATAGAATAAAGGAGGTGGTATGGGATCCAGAACGGTAGGCAGGCAGAGCTGCTTAGTGTGGTAGGCACACTGACTAGCTGCATCCCTGACAGTGTGCAGGGGCAGGCTGGTTGTTTTCAGGCTGCAGATAGCCACATCGGAATGTTTTCACCATCTACCTGTGCCAACATAAATGGAAGTGCTCAGCTCTGGTACAAAGAGAGGACCCGAGTCAGCACCTTTAGAGTACTACTTCATATCTACAATATGTTAACCATTTACCTGATGTATGCATGCGTGCTTTTAACCTATTGTTTGATGTGTAAATAGATAGGTGTATTTGTTTTTAGCAACGTATCTATGTGTCTAAATCACTTGCCTGTAGGGTTTATGATTATTTTGACTAGTTGCCACCTGTACCGTGTTAGACCCCATGTTTGCCTTGTATAGGTTTGTCTATGTTGCCACCTTTCCTATAGTGTGGATGTGTTTCTGTGCATATGTGTTTTGAACTCTTCACTTGCCCTGTGCATTTAGGTGTATAATGAATATCTTAAAGGGACACTCCACTCCCCAGATTAAACAATAAATAAATCACTGTTTAGTAGATATAACTCCAATGAAAACATCTGTATTTATTTATGCATTGTTTTACATGATGTTATATCTAAAAACACCTTGCAAAAGCTGCAGATCTTTTCTCTGCAGCCTTTGCAAATCCTGCTGAGGCTTTCTGTGGCTGTCCAATTGCAGACATACCATTGCAGCTCAATGAGAAGTCTTTACAAGGCAGGTGCATATATGTTAATTCCTCTCCTGTAATACGTATACATTTTTAAAATGCTATGCATTTTCCATATCTATAGAGTTCCTGGGTTTGTAGGTTACGTGGTACAGTAGTCTGTAGTTGTGCAGCATGGATTACTTTAGCAATAGCCCCATTTGTGTTGTTTGTTTTTTGTTGAATTTGTTTTTGTTAATTTTTCGTAATTAATCAGGCCAAACCTGACAGCTGCACAGTTTACACCAATTAAAATATTTGACGTAGGCTACGAAAGGAGGTGAGGATTTGTTTTATGTGCCTTGTAAGAAACCATTAAAGCAGGTGACATGAACATTGTAGTGATTTATGCATATTTCTGGAGCATCTAAGCTTAGGTAGACCATGACATGACGGGCCCTCCCTGCACTCTAACCTAAGCAAACGGACATTATGATGGTGCTTAATGTGTCCCTTTAATTTTCGAAGGGGGCGACAAAGTAGATTTTTGCCTAGGGTGTCAAAAATCCCTGCACCAGCCCTGCACACGATAAAAATCTGATATACCTACTGACCCATTTTTCTTGTGAACTCATCTTGTCTTTGTTTTGGAAAATTGGGAAGAAAGCCTCAGTGGGAGCTCTAATGATCACTATATATTTTTTTCTTTTGCTATTAGAATCCATCAACAATCAGCATCCAGCATTTGCAGATTGAATCTTATTGGCTTTTCCCAACAGGCAATTTTACCAGTACTACCAAAGGACACAGGATACCATGTAAGATCCAAACATATTCATCTCTTTATTCCGTTCATATAATTGTAAGATAATGAAATACGTTACGTGACTCTAGAGGGTTTTTTATGTTCTGTGTCCATCCCCCCCCCCCCACTGCTGTGTTTTTGTATTCAATGGTATACATAGAACAAGATTTACGATCATAGCTTGTATCCTGTGGACTCGTTCGGTAATCTGACTGATGGCTCCAGGTAGAACCAGTGGATATCAATGTCTTACAAATATTGGTTGCTTTAGTGCTTGCCTAAATTATTTGTTATAATTATGTATTTTAAGGTGTTAACTTCTATTTACCATTGTTTCAGTATCAGGAGTTCAGTCAGGGGTGGCTCAAGATGATAATAAAAATCTACCAAATCCTTATATTAGCAATAGGCAATCGTTTGAAAAGCCTTTTACATAACTTAAAGCTGTGTTGAAAAGTAAATGAAGAAAATAAAAACAGCATCAGCATCTCCTTTTTTTTTTGACATTCTTTATTTAAGTTTTTCAATATTCAATCACAGCATGTATATCCAATATAAATTAACATGTGGT